AAAAATCACTAGTTTTGAAACATGTGACACCGAACAAATCACTAGTTTCGTTACGTTTCTCGAAAATGACGTAACGACTCACGCCTAGTGTGTACTAGTACGTTTTCCCAATTGTACTAGCACGGTGCGCACTTGCGGATGTCCGATTAAGCCCAAGAATACCACACTCAGCATATTGAGCGAGTGGTTCCAAAAAAATGACATACATACAAATCTTTTAGAGTGATTCTAAGTATATGTTCATTAAAAGAGAAGTAAAATGGTCTTAAATACAGTATACCTCGAACAATGAAGTCACACGACATCGTGTTCTAACACATACTACTAGCGCCATCTATGAACGAGTTGCTTAAACTAAAAACCAAAAGCAACAATTTTAAACACATTTTAATTTTAAAGGTTTCGTTTTTATACCGTTACTAGCTGTTGCACGCGACTTCGTCCACGTGTAATTAAAAGATAGTAAAAAAATAAAGTCTATGTTCTCACTGATAACGCAGCTTTTTAATGGTTAAAGAATTTTTAAAATAGGCCCAGTAGTCTTATGTCAATACATACAAAAATACAAATTTTCCCTCTTTATAATATTAGTATAGATACAATAATCTAAATAAATTATAAATGTGAAAATTCATACATGTAGAGGATAGTCTGAACTTAAACTTAGGAATGAACTGATAATAAGCAAATAGTAGTACAAATTTTTCTTATACTCAGTTTATTCCCTATATAACATTACATCGCGTTTATTTCTAAGTATGTAAGAATACTTAATTTTTTTATTCCACAAGGAGTCGCCGGCAAAAATTAGTGTTTTATAATCTATACTATTATAATAAAGCGTAAACACACAATTCTTTGTTGCCTAAAATGTCAGCAATTACAGCATGTTTTTGAATAATTATTTTTTTAATAAAAAGCCCTACACTTACATTACTCTTTAGGCTATATACTTCACGCCATTAAACTTAGGGGGTAAATATTTTGGATAAAGACCCTAATGTGGGAGAGAGACCATATGTTGCTGCCAACATAAAGGAAACAAGGTTGTCATCATGTCATGTCATTTTAGCATTTGTAATTGATAATTTGACAAATGTAAACAATAAAATAAAATTTTCATAATTTCATGCGGATGAAGTCGCATTAGAACAGCTAGTTTGCAGATAAAGCACGAAAACAGCTTGTAAATACTCACTGAATCATTCTTCTTGGTGCTTGGAGTCCTTTTAGTATATTTGCGTTTAACTCTCGGCGTAGAATCGCCCGCAGATGACGACGCGACTGAATCTAAAATGCAAACAAAAACATTGATATTACTAATATATATTTCATCATCTTTCTTATCCTGCTCCCGTTGTGGCGGAACAGATTTTTGTCCTCCATAACTATCATACGTCATCTGTCATCACTCCCTTCATCATGTCACTTTTCACACAATACATCCATCTCTTTCTGTCTACCTCTACCGGTGTACCACACTCATAATTAACGTTCTCATAACATGCCCCCATGCTAACCTTTTACTCCTTACCTTCTAATGGATGGATATTTATTACTACAAATTTAAGGAAAGTCTGGACAGATTTTGATGAAATTGGAACATAATTTGAAAAAAGATAGGATAATGCTTGTCCCACCACTGACATGACACCATGACGTCACTGTCAGATAAGGTAACAATATCCAATATTTCTAATAGTTTTTCTTATAATTTCTCATTTCTATTGAATTAATAAAGTACGCAATACAGCGCCATCTATTGTTGAAAAGCTTAAGTTAGAAATATTTTTTTTATTAATTATTACAATAATTACATGCCATATTAAAAATTCTGGTAATAACATAGATAAAAAAAATATGTGAAAGATTTTTTTTTTATTAAAAAAACATAAAATAAACGATCAAATATAACAATAAAAGTACAAATTCATGCAAAACATGCTTCAAAACAATATGCTAATAAATTAAGAGATTTTTCTTTTTGAATCCGAATTATTTATAAAAAAATATTTTGAGAATGAAATTTTGTATTAATTTCAAATTCTCGTAAAGTCAACAAAAACAGTTTACGTCTTGAAATATTTTTTCAACATAACACTATTAATCTTATTAAAATAAACATAAACTTTATTTTTGCGATGTCACCGGTAGATTGTGAATTCCGTCCATTTTAAATCTTGCTAGACTGGCTGACTTGGCAATTTGTCAAATTTGATTTTTTTTTGATAAATCGTTAGGTTCATTAAACCGCAAATTATAAATTTATACGTTACTAGGTTACAGTATAATCAAAAACTTACAATATAAATTTTTACTCAAAGCTATTGAAGTCAAAGCATTCCCCTAAATAAAAATCACGTATAAAATTCAACATAAATAACATTAAATCTACAACCATTTAAAAGCGACAAATTTCTATAAAAACAAAACTACACATGCAAACTACATTTTACCTTTCCTTTTAACGAACTTTGTTTTTCGCCTTACGACAACCTTTTTGTCACTTTGCCTCACAAGGACCTTATCACTCTGCCTGACAAGGCCCTTGTTATCACTCTGCCTGACAGGGCCCTTGTCACTTTGCCTGACAGGGCCCTTATCACTCTGCCTGACAGGGCCCTTGTCACTTTGCCTGACAGGGCCCTTGTCACTTTGCCTGACAGGGCCCTTATCACTCTGCCTGACAGGGCCCTTATCACTTTGCCTGACAGGGCCCTTGTCACTTTGCCTGACAAGGCCCTTCTTGTCAGTTTGCCTGACGAAGGCCTTATTGTCGTGTAGCGTGGCGCGCGCGGCGTGCGGCGGCCGCGCCGAGCCGCGGGCCTGGATGGCCTTCACTACGCGACCGCCGCACGACGCCGAGAGCGTCGGCTGGCCTGACACACATGTACATTGTGAACAACACATACCACTGATATCTATAAATGGACAGGCTATAAACAGGTTTTGGCGCTGATGGATTTCGAACTAATAATACAGTGACAAGACTATAGATTCATTAACATCGAGAGACGCGTTAAAGTCGGAACGTTGTCTTTACAAAGACAAACAAACAAATATATCTAGATTACATTTAGACTGATCACCTCTGATGTGTAGATCCATTTACAGTCTCTAACAATACTGATTATATGGACAATACTTCAACTTTTACAGTCATTATATTTAGAAAGGGTTCGAAATCAAAAGAACATATCCCGAACAAATCTAAACGAGAGTTATTTAACCTTTTAATAAAAAAATCCCAATTAATTTTAAATTTTATATAAAAATAGTGGCGACATCTATTACCTGTTTGGCATACTTAATCATGTCTTGTCTACTGAAAAAATAAAATTTAATCTATGGCCAACATCGTAGATGCCACGGCCCGGTTGGGCGAAGGAGAACACCGCGGGGTTTAGTGGGTAGTCCGGCCGGGATTAAGAATCTATGGCCAACATTAAGCGTGTTTTATTAATTAAATGTATCATACCAGATTTTAATAAAAACAATTAACCATAGACAAACTACACTTTATGCCGAAACAATAATACTGAAACACTTTTTCTGATATAACTGTATAACATTAGCTACATTTATTTCCCAATATCACTTCACTGTCTTACAATTTGTCAAAACAAATCAAATATCGTAATGGCCGTTATGACGTCACCGTTGACTTAAATCTTTCAATAGAAAAATCTTAAATACTTCTCGTAAGAAACGCTTACATTGTGAACACAAGTAGTAGTTCAACAGAAGTAACTTAAGTTCAAGTTCAACAGTGGTAGAGCCCGCTTTAACATCTTAGCACTGCAGGGCTCTCAGTAATACCACGACCACACAGACAAGCGTGAAGTGGAAGCAATTCCGTGTTTCGTCTGATGAGTGTGGTGCCGGAGGGCTAATTTTAGTCTCTTTCCCTTTCACCCTTTTCTTAAGAGGAAAGGTTGGGAAGGAAAAGTGGATTTGACGAGGGAGACGCATAGGAAGGAGAAATGTCCTCTTTATTACGTCTCCTCCGTCAATGAAGGGTAGGCAGCGCTGCAATAGCGGATGTCTATGTGCAGCGGCCCTTTCCATTTCGGTGGATTCAGGTCGCTTGCTCGTTTGCCATCTTATATTGTAAAAAAAAAGTCTACACTTTGTATAATACAGCTACATATGTCGAATTTGTATTTATTTCTTTGTATTTCAAAGTTGTATTGTACCGTCTACCATATGTTATCTGTATGCTACAAAGCTCTACCATGGTAGATGGAAATATTGGTAGTTTTTGAACATAAAAAATACAGTAAATGTGGAGGGTGGCACACGAGTAAAGTAGGCCGTCGGAACTCGAACTCATCGCCGCATGTCTTATAATATGTCTGACGTCAAAATTTTAATGGAATTTAAATCTTTGCAATTAAATGTCGTTTCAATATTCGACCGAAAAAAAATTATTTAAAGTTATATATTGTTAACCAGACAGGTATTTAGTCATTTTTATTTCATTCAAATATATATAATTTCACGACGTAAACTTTTTTTGTGCACTACAAAAAGAAAATAATGCTCTACAACCTTACAAAAATTTAATATCGTTAATTTGTTAAATTTCAAGAATCGCAATATGTTATAAAATACCGATTTCAAAAAAAATCTTTCACCAAAAGAAAGTTATTAGCAAGTACCTTAAGCTATATTATTTGTGTATTCAAATCCGGTGAATGTTAGTAAATTAAGAAGATATAAAAACCAAAAAATAAAAACCTCACCCCCAGTACGTCGTCTGTATTCTCTTTTCGCCTTCTTTTCTAACGCTTCTGTTAAAAAAAATAAAAAAGAAACAAATTAAAATAAAATATTCAAAAACAATGAGCAAAAAAACGTTAAACAAAAAAAAAACAAACAGAACATAATTAAAAAAGTAAATCTAAAAATCTTTCCTACTTTGTTGCTATCAATTTCTTTACTATTGAGAATTATGACACAATAGCTATTATATCTCTTTCTCGTCTTTATTATTTTCTTAGGTAAATTGAAAACAGGCCACATTACAAATTTACCGGTAACATTTTACCATGTTCAAAACGTGCGGCTTAAATCAACGCCATCTATTATCGATAGTAAACAATTTTACACCGCCATCTATTATCAATTATAACAATTACCTAGTTCCCTAATACGCTTCCTAGCTAGATATTCAGGGCTCGTTTTGTCCACCCGCGGCCGTCCTCGCTTACGTTTCTCCCCAGTATCCGTACGATTGCTTATCACGGCCGCTGCGAAAAAAATAAACAAAAAAACCAAATAAAAGGCATTGCAAATTATAAGTAAAGCACATGCGGGAAAGTAAAAAAAATTAAAAATATAACTAAAATAGGAGATTATTCTAATGTCGTTTGCCGTCAATAATAACTAGCAGCATTTCTCTACGATAAAACCTTAAGAGATTCCAAACACATACCTATAAAGGTACAATCGGGGAAACTGGCAGTGCTCCACCTTAAATACTAAAATCGCAGCCTAAACGTGGATTAACGAAAAAAATCAGCGATACACAGCTTTTTTTATTTTATTACTACCCCTAAATAAATAAATAAATAAAAAATATACAGACGAATTGAGTACCTCCTTCTTTTGGGAAGTCGGTCAAAAATAAAGGTTAATCTTATCAACACAACACAATTAGAAATGTCGAAAAAAATAAGGCACAAAAAAAACACAGACGAATTGAGTACCGCCTTTTGGGAAATCGATTACGTAATTTATGGACGGCCCCAAAGGAGTTGTACAAAAGTGGGGCTTTTTTCGAAAATCAACTAACAAGAAAACATTTACATACAAAAGATAGAAACGAAAAGAGAAACAAGAAACATGTTTTTTTTTAAACCGTCATTTTGTTTGAAATTGAATTTTTATACTTTTATTCTGCGGACTTAAAATATGACAGTGGACATTTTGTTACAACAGAGAAATACAATTTTCAAAACCAAAAAAAAAAAATTATTATTTTCTTATTAACTAATTTATAGGACAATTCTAGTATTTATTATAGTGTAGAGAATTCAGCGATAACAGAAATAATAGCTAAATCCAATTCGATTACGTACGGCGGTAGTAGTAATAAACATTCATTTACTCTCATTATTTTATGGTCATTATTAATTTTAGAAAACATTGTTTTTTTTAAATCATAAGTTATAACTATAAATCTATAGATTCCAACTTCTATAAGAATAAAAATCGAATATCGATAAGATTCATAACTGATTTAATCACTACTAAATTTGAAATAAATTGTCAAACTAATCTAAACTCTTTAGACACAGTATAACTGATTTGCAGCTCGGCAATATTAAAGTAGCTCTTTGCAAACTTAAAGTGCCGCTACGCATTTCGCGTAACCAGCTTCTTCCAAAAAGTACATCAAAATCATTGTAAAGCATATTTACTTTGTTTAAAGGTTAACGTCTCAACGACAACATTACTATACGAAGGGTTGGCGAAACCCTCATAGGGCTGCAAATTTAAACGCAAGTGCGATATAAAAAGCAACTAGCGCTATCTCTGTTTCCGAAAATGAAACAAGTCACCAACCGATTGCAAACTTATACAATTTATAATAGGACTAGACATTTTTGAATGGATTTAACACAAAAATGTATACCAGACTATACGACATAGACAAAATGCAGACAAAAAAGCTGCACAATTCTAATGCAAATTTTGTCGAAGACATAAAGATGCTTTATCCCAAATATTGTTGCTAGGTCAGAAATCTTTTCTTATCTTATGTTTAACTAGCTATTACCCGCGACTTCGTCCACGTAATATTAAGCTAAAAAGTAGTCTAAAATATGGCCGACTATGTCAGCTACCCTTCAGTGAAAGTCCGGTCGAAATCGGACCAGTTGTTTCGGAGATTTCCCGGAATAAACGCCGTTTGCGGACAGAGACATATTAAATGCGTTTTTTGTTAACAGCAACGCAAATACATCTTCCCGAAAATCTGAAATTTTTTCATTTGATATTACAGAAACTCCAATTTTATTATATGCATAGATTAGTGTCGACACTGGCGACGATAAACAAAATATTTTCGAAATCAATTAATTTTGAAATTGCAAACTGAATTAAAATAACTAGTTGACAAAATTAACTAATTATTCGACTAGTTACGTTAACGCCGAAACTAACGACCCATCCCTATTATACCTAAAGTGTTTTCGAAGAAAACCTAGTCGATGTTAAACCAATGGTCGATCGTACACTACTTTAAAAACCTATCAATACTAGGTATAAGTCTATTGTAAGCTCTGCGTCTAAGTCATAAAAGCTATTTTTAAAATTGTCAACAGTTGTAGATGTGGAAGGTCCGAACTGTTCAGGTAAAACCGTGGGCGTGCTGACAAACTATAACTGTACAGTTCAACTGACTACTGACAGGGATAACTTTGCCTGCAGTCACCTAAGAGAACACATACGCCTTTAGCTGGAATGAACTTGCTTGCAAGAAGCATGCCAGCTACTGGAATGTGTAATTCCCTACTTTATCAATAATATTAGCAGCCTGTGTCACTATACAGTGGCACAACTGCTATTCCAAAAACATTCCAAATTTCATCAAAATCCTTCTACAGCAGTAGTGGTAAAGAGCAATATTTTATGGTAGTACTTGGGGATACCAGAGAAGTAAAACGATATCGTGTTTCAGCATACAACTGCTGCCATCTATCGATAGCATTCTTAAACCAACCGGACTGCGCTGAGGTTTGTAATGATATTGCTGTGTTGTTTTTCTAGGGGAACGAAAGAGACGGCAATATTGTCGTATAACATGTTTTATGACAATGGAAACACATTTATATATAAAAAAGGTGTTGGTAATGTTAAAGCTATTTTTTTTCTTTGCAATTTAAATTAATAATAATAAAATCAATGTAATATTTAAATTGAAATAAAATGGTGTTATGATGACAAATTTTTGTTTGAAAATTATGTTAAACTTAGAATTCAAAGAAACAAAAGTAACAAAATATTAATTAACCAGCTGTTGCTCGCGACTTCGCCCGCGTGAAATTACAAATATAACCTATTACATTCTCCCTTTTTTTCAACCTATCACCAAAAGTATTAACTTAGTAGTAATCTACGTAATAACAGAAATCTACTTATGCAAGATTCCAAATTTCTAAGCCCGGTAGCTTGTTAGCTGATTTTTCGGTTACCCTTATTGTTTGTGTTCGCGATATCTTCTAAACTATTAGTCCAATTTAAATACTGTGAAGGATAATTTTATTCTACATTAAATTCTCCTGATAACAGACGTATTTATTTGTATGGTTAGCTGTTTACTGATGGTGAAAGAATTTTTAAAATCGGCCCAGTAGTTGTTGAGTTACTTTAATACATACAAAAATACAAATTTTTCCTCTTTATAATATTAGTATAAATGAATCAATTATTGACATTTTGATTTTAATACAAAATTACGTTACACAATAATTTATACATATAATAAAATTGGAATGTCTGTTTGTGATATCCAAAAAAACATTCCAAATTTCGAGAAGATGGTGTATTTGTGTTGCTGATAACGAAAATTGCATTTAAAATTTTTGTCTGTCTGTTCACAAGCCGTTTGTTCCGGGTAATCTCCGATACGGCTGGGCAGATTTCGACCGGATTCACTGAAGGGTATCTGACATGGACGACCTTATCAGACTACTTTTTTATCTTAATATTGCGTAGACGAAGTCGCAGGCAACAGCTAGTTTGTTAAATATAAAATTACATCTTACTAATGTTATAAATGCAAAAGTTTAGTAGCAGCATAAATCGCTGAACGGATCATTATAATTTTTTTTATAGATGTATTCTGGAAGAACACACAGACTAGTTTTTTTTTTTTTATTCCACACGGATAGAGTCGCAGACGCGTTATTTACTCAGCAAATAAAATTTATTAAAAAAAACCGCTTTACACGTATTTGTGCAAGCAGCTTTACAAAAAAAAACAATTTACGTAGACTAACTATTTAGTCCACCTGATGTTAAGTGATCACTGACACTGTTAGCCAAAAGCTACCCCTATACAACCCCTAAGTCAAACCAAAGCGCGATTCAAACACAACTCCTGCCATCTATGTATTGAAAATGAAACAAATGTCACCGAAAAATTAAACTTTTAAGAAATTACAATAAAATTAGGCGTTTTTAAACTAAAAATGACAATAAAATAAAATCTAAGATACTGGAAAGATATCTATCTAAGATATTGAATTTATTAAGTTCTTTTGACATTAGAAAGTTGTACTTTCACTAAGTAACTTATTTTCCTGCAACATTTCTATAAAATTACATTTACCAAGACTTAGGGTCTATTCCACAACTAGCTGACAGAGACTTAGATAGCTTAAAAATGACGTCACTGTCAGATAAGGGCACAAAATCCGATATTTTCATCACATATTTTACACGTTGGATTGTTACTAGACAATTTGTCGCCGCAAATCTTGAGGTCTTCATCAATTAACTAGTATTCGGCCGCGACTTTATCCGCGAAATTCATCGAGATGCGAATAGCAGTTTTGGCTACAAAAATACATCTATCTAAGTTTTTGCATTTACAATATTAGTACTAGTATGATAAATAAATAATTGAATAATAATGTTTCGTTACAATTCAAACTGCCAACAACCTATAAAAACAGCAGAACCTCGTTAGGCTAAAGGGAAACACAACATATATTAAGTTATAGAGGTTTTAAGTTATCAAGGGTCTATGTTAGGGATAGGTTAATGTAGAGGTAGGTATGTACATATGTATGTACCCTTGTTCCTATACAGTGGAACCTCGATAACTTAAAACCTCTATAACTTCAAAAAATAATATGTTCCCTTCCCATCAGAGCCCAAAACATCTATAACATAGATCCTTGATAACTTAAAACATCTATAACTTAAAATATTTTGTGTCTCTCTTGGACTTTAACTTATCGAGGTTTTACTGTATTTACTCGAATGCGTCAAGATTTGTAGATAATGAAATCTAAATAATCATATTTAATTATTCACATTGCACATTGCAGGTTTAGTCTCTACTTAAAAAAGTCTGTGATTTTCAGAAACATATTGTTTTTTGAATTTACAGAGGTTTTTAAGTTATCGAGGTTACGAGGTTCTATTCTCCTGTAGTAGAAATGAAAATCAAATAATACTCAAAATAAACAATAATATAATAAATTTTAAATTGATTATTTACTTAATTTGAGTAATT